ATTCAGACGAAGGAACCTACAGATGTGAGACAACCAATGATGATCCTGTAAGCGAGGATGTGGAGGTCACTGTGACAGGTATGGGTGTTTTTAGGTGTGAATGTATATGTGTTACACTCTGCACTTGCTCCCAGGAAACTGTTTCTTATGAACAAAATAAAAATCGGATATGGGTTAAGAAATATATTTTGTATGGAAAATGTTTATTTCCTTACCCAAAAAAATATAAACACAATTTCTAACAGAAAAACCTGTGACTAATTTATTTTGACTGTAAAACTACAATATTGCAATGATATATTTAAAAGAAAATTCATTACATGTTGCTCTTTTCAATATACCGGTGCATTAACCACTTCGTTATCACTATTTGTTTCATTTGATGAGATATTTCTGAGAAAAGTGTGCGTAATTACTTTTTTCAAAGGCTCTGGCGGTGGAGAAGATCCTGAGATTGTGGATGTCACTTCTGACAAAACCATCAGAACAGGCAATGATTTAGTCCTGGAGTGTTTTGTCACTGGCCTGACATCATCAACTGTAAGTGTGTTAATGTGCTGAATTCGATGGTGTATTCTATGGAAGAGTATACCCCCATATTACCTATATATATTCCCTGACAGACATTATTATGGCTTTGTGATAATTAATACAGTAATAGAAGAATTTGAAGTTTTGTTTTTGTGCTTATAATATGGATAATCTTAACTATTCTCAGGTTGAGTGGCAGCTAGTGGATGGCAGAAATATTGAAGTACTGACCCGCGGTGAAGACAGAATCATCAGTGATAGAAGATTTAGCACAGAGATGGACACTGATGGAGATGAGGACATATTTACATTAACAGTTACTAATATCAGGAATTCAGACGAAGGAACCTACAGATGTGAGACAACCAATGATGATCCTGTAAGCGAGGATGTGGAGGTCACTGTAGGAGGTAAATAATACTTTGAATGACCTGATGTAATATGTATATTTATTCACATAATATATTAGTAAATGTGTAACTGTACTATGAATAATTATGGTAGCAAATATTGCTAATATATAGTAACATTACTTCTGTTTCAGGTTCTGGAGGTAGTGAAGATCCAGAGATAGTTGAGGTTACTCCAGACAGAACTGTGAATTCGGGCACAACTGTTGTTCTTGAGTGCTTTGTAGCTGGTCTGACCCAATCAACTGTAAGTCCCCATGTGACATAATCAGCATGAATTTTGTTTAGCAAAAATTATTGTCTAATGTTAAGATAATCAAGCAGCAAGGATCCAAAGTCTCTTATTCATTTTCGTATAGTAATGATTTTTCCCATGAGGTGCTGGCTATGTAGGAGTAACAATTCAAGACCTGTGTATTTCCTTCAATACAACAATTTTTTTAATTACTATGAGTGGCTTAATTGATTATGAATATTTAATAATAATTATGAGATTAATCAACCACTAAATGCCTTCAACAAAAATATTTTGTAAGTTGGTTGTTACGTTTCTGTTAAGGTTGAGTGGCAGCTAGTTGATGGTCGTGAAGTCACAGTTCTGACTAGGAAGGAAGACAGGGTCACCAGTGACCGGAGATTTTCAGCAACGATGGAAACGTTTGACGATGAGGAGATATTTGTCTTGACCATCACGAATGTAAAAAGTTCAGATTCAGGAACTTACAGGTGTGAGACAACCAATGATGATCCAGTCAGCGATGAAGTAGAGTTAACCGTGAGAGGGGGGGCTGGTACGTGAGTGAGCATTTGCTGTGAAAGTCACTTTTTGGCTTTAATTCATTGTTTCACGTAGTTTTAACAAAAAACGAAACTAGTAGGAAAAACTCAAAATGGTCTGTAGAACTGTATATAATGTTGTAAGTGTTATATGTTATCAGTTTCAAATTATAGGGTCACACCAGGTTTTAGTGATTTGAATTTGGTGGCAGCAACACAAATATCTCTTATTTGAGTGGTTAAACGTATGCTATTTGTAACCCATTTAAATTTACCTGTTCACCTAGTTGAATTTTGTTTTTGAAGTGCATTTAAGTCAACTGTCTTGTTTGCTTTCAGGTGATCCTAGCATCTCCGACATCACGGAAGATTCTAGATTCAACATTGATAGTGACGTGGTTCTTGAGTGTTACGTACTTGACATTGGTACCTCAATGGTGAGCTTGAACCTACTCTGCAAATACAAGGGAGTTAATGGATCAAAAAAGCTCACATGTTTAATGGATATCTAAAACATAAAGATTTAATATACAATATTGCAAAGCATTGTAATACAAAAGGTGGGGTATCATAATTTTGCTGCTTAAGGATGCCAACTGGTGGGCAGTGACATATGTTTAAAGTTATGCTGATTATTATGGATGTAAATCTTTGTAATGATTTTTGTATTACTTGCTAGCTTTTTAACATTTTTATAAAGACTGTTTTAGTTTTAGTTTGTATTTATTTAGTTGTAAGAAATTTTCCTTTATTCCACCCACTTTGTTTCGTTTTACGTCATGGTAAATTGCACTACGATAAAAACGTGATTCTTGCTGATGTACGTATGCAGCTATACAAGTACCATATGTTACTGTTTAAGGTCGAGTGGCAGCTGGTTGATGGTCGTGATGTCACAGTATTGACTCGTGATGAGGACAGAGTCACCAGTGACCGCAGAGTGTCAGCGGAAAAGAGGTCGATTCGAGATGAGGATGTCTACACTTTGACAATAAGATCAGCAAGGTCATCAGATGAGGGCACTTATCGATGTGAAACAACTAACAGAAACCCAGTTTCCGAAGATGTTGAAGTCACTATAGGAGGTAGAATTTTGTGTATTTAGTGTTATTTGTTAATGGTTAGTGTTGATATACATGTGTGATTTATGCAAAATTGTGAGCATAGGGAGCCATGATTCATTAGTTTTGTCTTGCTACAAGTTTTTTATATTAATTTTTGAGTATTTTTGAATTAAAAAAAGTTCTTAAGATGAAATGGTGGTATCACTATAGTTCGTGCATTTTTGGCATATGTATGCATAAGTACGGAACATAAATCTTATAGAAACCCGTAGTATATATTTATGTAATAACTTATCTTTGTGTAAAAACAAATAGGTAGGTAATTACTTTGTCCAACTATGAATCGTACTTTTTTCAAGCCAAAATTGATAATGCAAATGCATTAGTCTACTATAATGATTACTATTTCTCAAAATTTTCCAGTGGGTAGCCTATATAGCTGTTTAATTACCTCTATTCGGATGGAAATCCATTAAGCTAACAATAAAACACCTATTTTTTTATTTTTTTTATGCTATTCAGGAAGCGGCACTCCAAATATAGGAGAAGTTTCCAGTGATACCAGTGTCAGTGTTGGTAGCGATCTTGAGCTAGAGTGCTACGTGACAGACTTGGGGCGTTCAACGGTAGGTATAGTGATCATAACACTTTGACTAGTCAGCATCGTACCTATAATCTTATGTTTTACTACCATTTTAGTGATTATATAATTCTAGAGAATGGTTATGGCAGTAAAGATCTCTCTCAGGTTTATTACATTTAGCTTAATCATTGCTGAACGGATTAACGTGTAGAGTTTATCACCGCTGCTCTTAATTCCATTCTCACTGCCCTTAACTGCCTTTAACCAGATTATTACTCTATATATGTTAAATTACACATGCATTGTACTGTTTTGTCACTATGGTATGCTCATAATAGCCAATTATTGTCAGGTTGAGTGGCAGCTAGTGGATGGGAGGAACGTTGAAGTACTGACCCGTGGTGAAGACAGAATCATCAGTGATAGAAGATTCAGCACAGAGATGGACACTGATAGAGATGAGGATATATTTACATTAACAGTTACTAATATCGGGAATTCAGACGAGGGAACCTACAGATGTGAGACAACCAATGATGATCCTGTAAGCAAGGATGTAGAAGTCACAGTAAGAGGTATGCCAGCTATAGCATTTATGCTTTTAAATTTTAACAGCAAGATCACATGAAATTCATTACTTAGTTCCTAGTGTTTGATTAATGTTTTATAGTGCTCTACCAGGGGCGTAGCTACTGTAACGCAGATACTCAGTTGCGTACACATTTCACCAAGCATTTAATTTTTATTGGAGAGAGAGAGAGAGAGAGAGAGAGAGAGAGAGAGAGAGAGAGAGAGATAGAGTCGGCAGTGACTGGATGTGCCAAAATGCACCATTTTGCACCATTGTTTGAAAAAAAATTTAGGGGGTGGGATGCCCCTGGACTCCCCTAGCACACGGCTGCCTGTGGCGCCCGTATGTGCGTACACATCCATTTTACCCTAGCTACGCCCTGTCTACTAAATGCAACACTCCTTATACATTGCATGAACCCATCTTACAAAGTGTAGCTAATGTAAGCCAATCGATTTACAATTGTTTTTTTTAACTTAACTAATTAACCCACGTTTATCATTCACAATGTATACCTTTTAACACATGGATTACTGACATTCTACTTTAATATACCCAGGTATGTGCTAAAAGTGAGAAATATAAAATATAAGTGGCTGGTACAGTAATAATATGGAAAATTCTTATTTCAGCTGCCGGCAACCCGGATATTGTTGACATCAGTCGGAGGACGACAGCAAACGTAGGAGATAGCACGTCACTTAGGTGCTATGTTGTTGATCTAATATCTCCTGACACGTAGTAAGTACACCATTTTAAGCAGCATGATAAGATACAAGAAACACAATAGTGGGGGTGCAACTGAAGCATAGACTGTATGCAACTATGGGCTGACATTGAATGAATTGGGATTGCAATTCTGCTTTTAGTTTTATCTAAGCTATTCCCTTGTTAGTAAGAGTAAGTGTAAAAGTTTACCATTAGTAAAACGTTCCCTATCTAACATGTCAAGTATTCTTAAACTGCTACCACTTAATCAACCCTTCAATAATCATTTTCTTTACTAAAATAATTCAAATTTGAGGTGTTTAATGTCCGTGTGATGTGCCATGGCGTGCGTCGCTGTGCTGTGACTGTGCGTGCGTTGCTTGCGCTGTGTGATGGTGCGCAAGTGTAATATAAAATAATATATATATATATAT